TCTCCTTTCTCTTATGAAGATACTTGTCACCAGATTGGGGACCACCCTACTGCAATACAACCTCATCTTAACTTGATTACAATTGCAAAGACCCTATTTGCACGTGAGGTCATATCCACAGGTACTAGGGGTTAGGTAGGACACAAACCTGTCTTTTTGGGAGGGATATACCAAGCCACAACGGAAGGGGAGGTCCTGTATGAGTGTGGCTGGGAGCCTCCATAGGGTCAAGGGGAGGTTTGTTCCAATATGAAGTCTCAGTCACATCCACAGGTGAAGGCACAGAGCTGCCCAGTGGAGGTGATGACACCGAGTATCAGGAGGAAGGGGGCAGTTATGGTATGTGCTATGAGGCAGCAGCTGGGACCAGGGCTCAGGGGCAGGGTCCGGCCTGGCAAGTCAGAGGCAAGCCTGCTCTTCTGAGGCTGGAGGAAGGAGGGGGGCAGGTATTTGGAGGGTATCTGTGGCTAGTAGAGGGTTCCCAATGGCCAGGTAAGCGGGATGACAGGTGACCAGATGGAGGTGGGGGGATGTGCCAGAACGTAAGAGAGGTGAATGAGGCCGTGGGGGCAGAGGAGACTAGGGTCCTGGAGAAGGTCCCTGGGCAGCCCCAGGGGGCTGCTGCTGTCGGAAGGATGGATTTGAGGGGCCAGAGTCTGACGGCCCTGTAGCAGACTTGAGCCCTCAGTGCCCAGGAGAAGGGGCAGGAAAGACTAACGAGTGGACAGGGGCGTTTCTTTCTGCCGTGTGGTTCAAGGAGGTAAGGAGGGCAGGTCCACGCAGCTGGCAGTGAACAGTGCTAAGGAAGTATGGGGTACATGGGCATAGGGAAGGAGGTGAAAGCAGGGGAACAAGTATGGAGGCATGTCTGGAGGCAGCTCTGGCCTGATCCCGGCCTGCCGGGTGGGGGGTGGAGAGCCAGCAGCATCCCGGAGAGGTTTCAGAGGTGGGGCTCAGCCTGGGGGGCACTTCCCACTCACTCCTCCCCCTCCTCTGCCAGCGTGCTGATCAGGTTTATCTCAAACCTCGAGGCCCCTGCCTGGTGGGGCTTCCTGGTGGCTGGGCTGATGTTGGCGAGCTCCATGATGCAGACGCTCATCTCACAGCAGTACTGGCACCTCATCTTTGTGACGGGACTGCGGCTCCGCACAGGGATCATGGGCGTCATCTACAGGAAGGTTAGCCGATGCGGGACACAGGAGCTCAGGGCCGGCCCCGGACAGCTCGGGGAGGCTCAGGGCCGGGCCCGTCCCTACTGTCCACCTACAGGCTCTGGTCATCACCAGTTCTGTCAAACGTCAGTCCACCGTGGGAGAAATCGTCAACCTCATGTCCGTGGATGCCCAGCGCTTCATGGACCTTGTCCCCTTCATCAACCTGCTGTGGTCAGCACCCCTGAATATCATCCTGGCGATCTACTTCCTTTGGCAGGTAACTCTCAAATGCCGACCTTCACTCCCTTCCTGACCTTCCTACAAAGGGACAAGAGTGGTGGTTCTGGGAACCCACAGTTAGCGTAATGGCTATGTCGCTGGACTCCCACGTAGTCGACCACGGTTTGCGTCCCGGACCCGGTGGCTTAAAACTCACGCCGGGCGCGTGTGCGTGCGTGCCCAAGATCCCGAGAGGAGAATGGAGGAGAAGGGATTGCGGCGTGACCATCCCCCCTGGGGGGTGATTTCTCGCTTTCTGTCTCTATGTCTCTCTCTGTCTGTCTGGCGAGCGCACGCGCCCTATAGCAAAAACCTCTCAAAAAATAAAAATAAAAAGAGTGGTGGCTCTGAGTCGGCAGAGGGGCTATTACTGGGCATGGGAGCTTCCCGAGGGGCTGGGGGACGGAGGGAAGGAGGGACAGGATGCTAGCGTCTGCAATCCGTCTGCACTTGCTGTCCTGTGGGTCAGGACACCGTCTCTGTTGTCATTATCCGCAGGCTGGCTGCTTCTGCAAATGGCATGGTCATACTGGCTTTGCTCACTGTTGGGCTGTTACTGTCTTCGGCTTCCTGCCCCCGCCCAC